CACACACACACACACACACACACACACACACACACACACACACACACCAGATTATCAAAGTTAAAAACTCATAACAATTAGCTACATCGTCATCACGTACTGCGAATCATCGCAAATTACAATGAATTCCAAGACATTTGCGAAGCGCGAGCGCAAAAGTGACACCGGTGAAAATGACATCAATGAAACGCAAAAAGCCAGAGATAATAGTGTCAATCATGATGCATTTTTATCAATTTCAACGGAGTTCTGCTTCTGTCGCCGACTGAACACAGCACAGAGTCAATGCAGTCTACAACCGCATGAAGGTGGGAATGAAGAAAAAATAGAAACATGGCCATCCAATAAATCAATTAGGCTGTTCTGCATAAATAAGCTATATTAAGCACGAGCACAGGATCGGCGCGTTGTAATGGAGCAATAGAGGTACATAAAATGTGAGAGATCGAGAGAAAAATACCGTGCTTGGAATCGATATATACATATTTATATATATGTATATTTCGACGGAAGTGAACTTATGTTGCACATCGATAAAACCTTTTGGGGATTACTGAGTGGAACGATGGATCGCTAATGGTTTGACTTGCTTACCGGTCGATGGAAAGCGGCATACCCATAAAATGGAATCAGTTAGCGAGCGAGCGAATGAGCGAATAAGAGAGAGAAGAACCGAGTTATGCATACAATCAACTTGCACGACTTAAGCGCAATCCTCTCAATAGTAAGCTTGAACTTCGTCTTCATTTCTTGTTCGATCGATTGCCGGATGCCGCCAAAGCCGCGCGCACAAATGCCATATTGAACTTATAAGACGAAAGAAGTTCCGGGGCAAATCGTAAATATTTCAAAATCCTTTTTCCTATTTAAATATGCAGTCGATTTCAGAGCAAGTGAATGAACAGGCGCGAGAGAAAGAGCGAACGGGCGTACGAAGAATCGTTGCTACGTTTGTTTTGTTATTGTTTGTTAAAGATTGCTGGAGCACACAAAAGCGATTTCACATCTCTCCCTCTCTCTCTCTCTCTCTCTCTCTCTCTCTCATAACATGCTATATATGTTGAATCTATATTTAAAAGACTCTTGGGGTTATGACACAAACAGATATTTATCCCCTTGAGAATCGGTAAAAGCGCTTTCCCAAAGCATCGAAAGCAATCATTGAAAACGTCAGATCGATTTTGCTTGCAACACTTCTCCTAGCTATTTTCAATTCAATACAGCTTATTATTAAAAGTCTCGTTTTGTTTATTTATGAAATCATTGTAAAATGAAAATCTCCATGCCAAATTTTTTTTTGACTTGTGCGACTCTTTGTTGCAATGTTGTGCCAATTTGCCAGTCATTTTGTGTGCTCAAATGTGTTCTTTCATTTTTCGTAGTCAAATTTTCTGTTTTGTTTTGTTTTTTTTTTGCACTCAAATTTCGTCTCTCATTTCTCTCGTATATTCGTTAAACTCGATGCAGATGTTGTTGGTTCTCGACCGAAAAACTTCAAAACAATGATAAAATTATACAAAACCGAGCAATGGAGCATAAGCTCCTTTTGTCGCTGCACATTTGTTCACATAAGTCGAACTAATTTGAGTGTTATTTTCACAAAACGTATTAAATGGGAATTTTCTCTCCCAATCTTCATTTAATTGCTTTTGTATTCCCTTATATATAATTAAAGCGCTCTACATTGTTCGAGTGGCTAGACTGGATTTTTGTTATTTTTCCATTCAAAACACAAACACAAACAAGACATTGTCAAACTTTTGATAAATAAGTTGTCGTTTAATACTTGTCTAGGACTTGTGTTGAGAAGAAGCCAAAAAAAGCTGCACAAAAAGCATATCATTCACAGTGCAGTCTCTGACGTACTACGCAGCTTCAAATGTTTCATTTCACCTTGTTTTTTTTTCTCCTTTTCTTCTCAGAATGATGAATTTTCGAGCATCAAGAAAAAAGCAGTGGCCTATGTTCTCAACTGTTTGAAGTAATAATGGAATTCATAGAGCGATTCGAGCTAGGAAATATTGCCCAATCATGCATTTGAATTGAAAAAAAAGTGTGGCATTTCACATTTTTCATCAACTTTGAATGCATTTGAACATTTAAAAATGCGCTGGTGAAATGGGAAATAAATTACACCATTTTTTTATTCGTTGGCGTTATCGTTGTTTTATCAAAATGTCTCCGAATCATTTCGAAAGTAGATGTAAATATGACAGGTTGGCTGCACGCGCTCACACAAATTGAAATGTAATATTCAAGAAAATAACCAAATAACACACCGCCCGAAAAGAAAAAAACAAGAACGAGTAACAGTCTGAAAGCTGTCTGAAACAAGAAAATCAACAGAAGCAGAGCAAAAAAAATGAAAAGGAGAGAACTTACCGATTTGTCGCCCAGTTGTTCAACTTTGCATTGCAAAAACGCTGTGGACCCCACACGAGCGGTGACATTGCGCTGTACGTCAAAGCCAAAATACGGGTGCAGCGACATAATATGCTCGGGAATGTTAGTACCGTTAGCTGATGCTTTGGTCATATCTGCAAAGAATGGATAAGATTGGCAATGTGATACAGCATACGATATATGTGTGTATAGAAATGATAATCTATGCAAGTAACCAACAAATCAGAAATCATCTAAGATAGAGAAAAAACACACCATGCGATTCATTATGTGCGGAGCAAAACAGACGGTTTCCAAAATGGAAAATGCCGTCGACCAATTCAGCGTAACATTTGTCTCGATTGAGAAAATATGAAAGCGATTTAAAGTTCGTAATTGCTTGTGGCTTTGACTGATACTGATTTTGTTCTCTCACTCTAATAAATTGGTGTTGATATCATGAATTTTTCATAAACTCGCCGAACAAAATGAAGCCAAATAACAGCAGCGGTTGCTGTTGACGTGCACGTCTTTTGACCGACCAACCACGCAACCGACCAGAGCAACCCTTTTGTCTGTTTATTTTGCCACACGGCGACTCGATTGTGTCTTATTTTTCATCATTTATGCTGATTCATAATCAAAACATCGAATAAACAGTCTAGACTCTTTGTATTTAAATTGCGTAAAGTGTTGAAATACTCTTTCTCTCTGTGTTCATTTTTTTTCTTCTCGTCACTCTCCTTTCTGTTCGGGGTTTCATTCTCATCAAAATTTTAGAAAGTGCGCAATTTTGTGGGCGATACTAGTGATTACATTCAATACTTGGATGGTTGCAAAAATATCGCCGTGATTTCAACAGCAGATCCGGATTTTATTTTGCGCCGCTTTTTCGATCACTGAATAAAAAACACCGAACCGGTGTATTTTAATTCAAACTGAAACATGTTATCTGGTTCAGAGTCAAATGTTAACCGTCTCTTGGCTGAAATTGACGTTTTGGGTCGAATTCTGGGCAAGAAAAGATGGATGATGAGAATGCAAAACCATACATTTTTCACGATGACTCAATCCCGAAAAGTTGTTCAATTTAGTCGATTGAAAGGTAAAAACCAAGAAACCGCAACCAAGAATCAAGACCAACATCATTCCGTAACAGGAGCAAATAGAAGATTAACAGAAGTGAAAAGTGAAGTCGCAAAAATTTAGTGACAACCACTTGAAATGGCATAGAAAATGGGAATCCATTTTCCGGAATTGAATTAAATTAATGCCGATGCTTTTAACAAGCCGAAGAACTGGCAAAATGAACACACGCTTGTCCTTTTTATTGTCATCATCGTCGTTGTCGTCAGCGTGTCTTGTTTCGCTGGCTTTTTTTTTTAAATTCAGTAAATTAAATTTTAATTGGAATTCATTTGGGTGAAACGCCAGTTTAATGAAATGAACGGTAGAAATTGCGTTGTGCAAGAAATTTGGTTAGTGGCATTGTTTTTTTTTTCTTTGGTGGCGGTTCTTCAAGCAAAAACACACACATTGTAACAATGAAACTTAAATTCGAAATAAATTTTCTCACATAAAAGTTGTGCGCTGTTTATTCTCAGTCGTCGTGTGCCGGTGTGTATTTGTTGCCTGATAAAACGATGCTATGTTGTGTTCAAACAATTCGTATTGCTCGTTTTGTATATTTTTCGCTGAAACAAAGCCGATTCTCTTTCTCTCGCTCATTTTTGTTGCACAGCATCTGCTTTTTATTCTTATTAATTATGAAATGGATTCAGTTGTACAATGTACACCAAATTCTATTGAGCCAGCGCGCAACGTACACACTTGAACAATTTTAAACAAGAAAAAAAAGTAACTACCAGCAAACAATTGTAATTGCATTTCAGAATTTTGCCGGCAATGAATTCCTTCCGCTGTAGTTTTTACACTGCAGCTCGCTGATTTTTGCAAAGTTTATTCCATTCTTAATATGAATGCCAAACTTTTTCGACGGAAACAATTTCCATGATGGATTTTCATTTATGTTTATTTTTGCATTGGTGCCTGTCGGGAGTGGCTGGCTTGCTGGCTGCCGTTGCTATCGTCGTTGAGAGGCCCAAAAGTCATGACATTATTTTTTACACAAAATGTTTGATATATACATAATGCCGAAATGTTTGAATATCGAATGAATGGTGGCGAAATCACTACGTGAAATTATTATGTAAATAATCCATCAATCGACAAACGTCAATATTGACTTATCCAATATTCATTTCCCAAAATTTCGAATATATATTTGCTATTATCGACCCAAACCAAATTACACCTTTTTTCAGACAATTTACCAATTCGATCGACAAATGCCAGCCAAATATTTTAAATGCTTTAATCCCATACGAACAAAAGGTGCTTTGTTGCGAAGCTCAACACAAAATTATCCACTTTTTAAGTCATTATGCAAACAGTCCTTTTCCTTTCTCTTTCTCTTTTTCTTGTTTTCGTTTTCATTACTGCTGCTTCTTCCCACTTTTGCTCTTTCGCTTTTCTCTCTTTTCCTCTCATTCCCCTTGCTCTTCAACTTTCTCTCGCTCTTACAATCAACCGTCGAAAGCTCTATGCTTCAAATTCGGTTGTCGGATTTCCAGTAAATATAAATATTTATTTATTCAAAAAGATCTGATCAAGTTTTGTGATTTTGTTAGAGTGAGAGTGAGAGAGAGAGAGAGAGGCAAAAGGCGGCGATGGGATGAGGGTTCGTAAAGTTGCTACTTTTTGAGGAAGAAATGCCCATAAATTTCCACATAATGTAAATAAGCGCATTTAATTTCAGGAAGGAATGAGCATGGCTCAAAATAGCCGTATTCTTCTATCATTCGCTTCCTTTTTGTGTGTGCTGGTCGTTGTTTCTGAATTCTGTGCGGCGCCTCGCAACCAGAATAAAAATTTAAATGGGCTGCATTTTTGTCGTCAATTTTCTTTTATTCGCTGTGTGTATGCGCTTTTTTCTGTTGGACAAATTGTTAGCCAGTTCCTGATGCAGTGCATATTAATTCGGAATCAGAGCACAACGACCGAAAAATGGAGAGTGAGCGAGAGAAAGCGAGCGAAAGAGACGAAATGCGAGCAAGTTTTGTGTCTCCAGTGCATAAATTGAATTCAAATCACGTACGCAGCACAGCTTTTTCGATTGGAAAAACTTGGAAATTTTTGAAACGGCAAAGTTTGCCATTGTACACAAGACACACTCACACTCACGCCCAGACTCTCACTTCGTATCGAACGTCTTTTGTAACACACAGCTTACGGCTCCAAATTGTTTGAGAGCGAAAGCAACGAGAGAGAGAGAGAGAGAGAGAGAGAGAGAGAGAGAGAGAGAGAGAG